TTCCATTAATAAAAATATCACGTAATTCATTATTTTGTTATAAAATCAATTCTTTTTAAAATACTAATGATGTGTAAAATTAAACAATTATATTTTGCTATCTTGAGATAATTTTATTCATATATCAGATTAATATATAATTAAAATTAAAAAATCAAATTGATATTTATAATCGAAGTTTAAGGATTGAGATGGTACTTGTTTTTAAAATTTAAGGACTAAATTGATATTATTTTTAAATTTTGGGGACTATTTTAATATTAAAAATTAAAATTTAAGGATAATTTAGATATTTTTTTAAGTTAAGAAATAATTTTAATATAAATCTGAAAATTGAGGAACCAAATTGATATTTTAACCTTTAAAAAACAATGAAAAATAATATTTCACGAAAGCTAAATGTAATTGATTAAGAAAGAAATCAAAGTGGAATGTACAGTACATACCAGGATGCCTAATCCTACCATTTTTAGGCCGATCTCATTTGCACATAATTAATTAGCATGTAATTCTTCAAAGGTATTTTAAATAGTTATGAATTTGAGTTTAAAATTTTAATTAAGAGAAATTTTGAATTAAAATTTTGAGACAGACAAAGAATGGAGATGGATTAGGCAAAGGGGAGAACATGTGCAGTAACAGCAATAAACTAATAAAAGCCTTGATTTTTTATGCACAAATACAATTGGTCTTCTCAAGTTATAAATCTTATAATGGAATAAACGACGACACATATATGTTAGTATAAATATTGATTTCTGCCAGTCGCTTCCACTGCTTGTAAGGGTTGTGATAAACTGCTCTCTATCTACAGACCTCGCAGTTGCAGCACAGCACCCTCTGGTCATTGCTCCACTGCGAGCAATTATAATTAAGGAAGTACAGAAGCACGATCTTCTATCCATCTCCCTCGAAATCGTGGTAATTCTGTCTCAGGCTCCCAAACATTAGGTTTCTTGTACTTAAAGTAACACAACAATGACGGGGGACAGCAAGCTTCCTGATAGCATACCATTTGTATGATAAAATGCCTCAGTGAAACAACGTAGGGGATATCGAATCAAATCAATTTGAAAAAGCTAATGTTAGAATAAAATGGGGAAAAAAATAAGTACCTATAGCAAAGTCCATTTGCTTTTTGGAATAGTGCGGGTTCCTGAATGAGCCAGGCATTCTGTGGTTTCATGCCAATCTACTATTGGTCTCTCCAACTCAATTGAGTAGTCAAGGACTTCGGTGGTGAGGATGGTAAGTTTGGGTTCAAGTCCCAAATAAGCAAGTCAAGTATTGGTGAAAATTGCAACGACTAATACGAACATTGCAATGGAGAAGATGTGGAGAATTGGGTCTTTGTTCCAGGGAAATGGCCAACGAAGAGTCAAGAGTCAGAGAGGAAAAGTGAGCAGGAGGAGACCTAGGAGTAGTAAAGGATTTTGGGTAAACTTTGGGCAGCTGGATTCAGGAGTGAAAAATTGTATTTTAGTTTAGATTATATCGAATTGCAAATCATGAACCCTTAAACGAGGGATTGGGTTCCTGACATTGGGGTCCTCCCTATGCTAAGATCTTTGTTTTACAGTTAGGTATAATTTGGATTCCAAAACAGAGGACTCATATTATAATGTTAACTTTTTATCACTAGTAGCCTAGTATTAACTTGTTAATAAATAACATCTACAAAAAAATATTTTTCAAGTTAGACTACATATTAAAAGTGCAGTTTTAACATTAAAATTATTAAAATATTCTTAATAAAATTCTTCATTGTATTTATTTATTAAGTGTAAATTAATAATTTTAATGTCAAGATTACACTTTTAATGTGTAGTTTAGACTAAAATATATAAAACTCTTCCATCTAATATATTAAAAATAAATAAATAAATAGATTGTTAGGTTAGATCTCTTGGGTCGTGCTCTAGAGTTATTCTTTATGTTTTTTTTTTTTTTTTTAAATTTTGGTTGCACAATGAGAGGTAACTATCTTTCATTCATTATCCCATCCCACCCGTATGTCATACGACTTGAATTCAAGACCTATTACTTTCGGTGGAAGAAGATGACCATCGAGCTATTGAGGTCGTTAGCAGTTATTCCTTATGTTAAAGTCTCCAATTTTGATTTCTATGCATCACTTGTGACATCCCAATATAGGTAAATTCTTTTAGGCTAAGTTGTAAACAAGTTATTTATTTCATTAAAACTTTCGCAATATTAAGAAGCTGCTGATTATAGGAATTTCCAAAAACAAACTGTCAATTGAGCTAGTTGATTTAGGAAAACATTTAATTGAAACTTAAATCTCAAAAGGCATTTAATTGTAAGGATTTAGAACTTGTACTTAAAGGGAAAAAAAAAAAGGATGGTGCTATTGGGACAACCTTTTTGTTCAACATTTTTATACAACTTTCACATGTCATTGAATGAGTAGATGCATTCAATATCATGGGTCCCACATGAATGAAAAGAAACAATTATTTTAATGACACGTCAAGTTATACAAAAAAGTAAGACAAAAAAGTAGGACAAAAAAGTAGAACAAAAAAGTAGAACAAAAAAGTAGAACAAAAAAGTTGTACAAATATCACTTTCCAAAAAAAATAAAGAAGTAGGGAGCACTTAGTGCTTGGACAGTTAGATTATGGAAAGTAAAGAGTCTAGTCCTTCCATCATTTACACGCTGTACAAACTACACAGTACAAAAACATAGTTTGTTCACAGCAGCACTTGATGTTTCCTTACATAAGTACACAGGATTTTAGGGCAAGAATAGTGAGCCATGTCTAGGTTTTGGGCATGGATCAAATTTGTCTTACCAAGGTTGGTTCAAGGCTTGCACTTGGACTAACAGATGCTTCCTAGGCTCCCAAAATGTGAATGTTGCCTCTAGTTAAGTTCTACCTGTGACCATAGGGAAATAATACTTCCATGAGCTGTAAAGCTCAATGAGTCTAGTAAATATTTAACTTAATTTTCACAACTAAAAAATTAATCAAACCAATTTTGATGCTAAACTGAAGCATAACCTACCCTACTTGGGCAGAACCAGTTCCATCAAGTTTTGTTCACTAGCACTGAACAATCAAATAGAAGATTCCCCTCCATGAAAATCGTCACTTAAGATTCACAAGGGAAAAAAAAAAAAGCAAGATAAATTAACATTGCCAGTTGGACCCGAGTAGGTAGTGGTTTTTTATCTGTTGGGACTAAAACTATAGTGGTATAGGTTTAGTTTTTGTTTCTTTGGTAATTTTTCTATATATTTATTTATTTTGTGGGAAAAAGGAATTCAATAATGGGTTTTAATAAATTGTAGGAAAAAATGGATAACATTTTTTGGTATTAACTTCTCTGTATCTGGTAACCACATTGGATCCTAATTAATCCATAATCGAGCCACATCGAACCCCATTAGAAGGAAAGCTCTCCTAATACTTGTTTCTCCATTCATAAGACTCGAACTTAAAATCGAACTCAAAATCTTATTTAAGGAGAACAGAGTTTCTTCCACTTAGACCAACAGATCATTGGTAAAAAAAAAAAAAAAAAGGACAATGATCAAGGAGAATGTTGGACTTGAAAACGCAATAGATAAAGAATCTTGGGAAGGTGACGTACTCGTGGGGGAAAGGAGCAGTAAGAGAGGCCGTTTTCGATGTGTAGGAATGGTTGCAAAAGCAAAGAAAGCACCTGCATTACCCAACGGTAGCGCATACAACAAGAACAAATGAAGAAGATGGTAGAGGGGGTACGAATCATCACGTATTGATGTTAAAACAACAAAATCTAGATACAATTTTTAGTTTTGAAGTGATGGAAGTAGTGGAAGAAGCACAACAAATTGCTGGGTATAAGAAGTATTTTACATGCTTTAGTCTATTATCATTTATATTAACATTGATTTTATTATTATTCACAAGGATAATGTGTAAGTTTTAATAAATTTTACATAACTTGAATGCATAATAATAAGAGTTATTGGGATTAATTGAATATCTATTAAAAGTTGAGGGCCTGAACTGTGAGAAGAAAGTCTCCTTTTTGGAACCTATATGAGTGAATCTTAAGTCATGGGATCAAAGTGCTCATCACATGAAACCTTGAGGACAAGATTTGACATTTTGTCATTGAAAAAAATTGCTAAAAAGGCCAAAAACTTGACATGAGTACGGTGTTGACACATATTTCATGGTATTAGCATCATGCGTTAAGCATGATAAAACAGATTCGCCTGAAAGAAATAGATGTGCCAATACCTAGCAACGTTATCAACACCGCAAGCACATCTAAAAATAATAATTTTTCTTGGGATGAATTCATTTTTGAACAATTTGAAGGGCTTAGTCCCACGTTGATTTGGCGCAGTTATAAAAATTAATATTTTTAAGTGTTAATTTTAAGATTTAAATTTTTGGCTTAACCTATAAGTTTACACTTGCTGAGTAGTGATTCCAATCTTTGGCATTTAATGCATTACCAATTTATATATTGTAAACTTAGTTCAACATGTAATTATAAGCTTTTTGTCTTTTAACATTTTAAGAATATATAAAATATATTTTATATTTATTTTAATTAATATTTTATATATTTTAAAATAATAAAAATTAAAAGCCAAAGTGTCATGAAATTTTGTCAAAAGAACCTTAATCTCTAACAGATTTTCACATGAGCATTTCAAGATTGGATTGATAAATGGATACTCTAACCCTAGGTTAGCTTTTTTTTTTTTTAGCCATATAGGTTTATCTAAAATTTAAAACATTTTAAAAATTATATTTCATTTGGTGTTTGGTAAACAAAAAAGTGTAGATAGGATGGAGGTTTAATAATTTAAAAAAGCGATCAATTATTTACTTTTTTTTAAGGTAAAGAAAAATCTGTTTTATTTGCAATACAAAGATTATTCTTTCTTATATTCATATTAGATAACATCATAGAGATGCTTAAGCTATTTCAGTACCACAAGATTCTAAGCAGATCCCATTTTGCTTATCCCAAACATATGTCGTTGTTTTCAAATATCGATTATTTCCTAAAAACCCCATAATAACAGATACAAAACAAAAAGAACGGAAAAAAAAAGAAGATAAGACGGTTGATATTGATAATTATTTATTATTTAATATTTGTTTTAAATGAGATATATATTAAGGAAATAGAATTCTAAAACTCTTAAATAAATTACCATAAGTCTTAGACTTATCTTGACAACATATCAAATACCAATTTGAAATTAAACCTATCTGCGTCCTTTTCTTCATTCAATATCAAAACTTTTGCAGAAGGTAGGGCACATGGTTGGAATAGGAAGGAGAGAGGTACACCAAAGTTGCTGAAGGTAATTTTCGAAAGGTAATATTTTCAGACGTTGAATA